TGGGAGAGACCAGCCCTATACCCGGATACCTTACACAAATATTGTGGGGCATAGCTGTTTGGAAGCAACTTGCCAGCTGATGTTTCTCAGTGCTTTGAGAACAGAAAGGATATCAAGAGCTCTTCCTAGGGCGGTCAGCCAGGGCTATTTCCTAGTCCAAATAATTTTGGGGTACCCCCATTTCCTCTAGGAATTGTTTGTGACAAGACCAGATTTCAAGGTACTTAGTGCTTGAGGCTGTGCTGTCAGTTACTTATCAGCATGTTCTAAATCATGTTCTCTTAAAGGTATGTATTTCAAGAGAAATGGGGACAGGAACACCTGAAGCAGGAAAAGCCGGGAGGCCTAAGGAAGGGGTTTTACTTTCATTGCACTATCTTTTTGCAAGGTATTTTTAACATCTGAGCCACCTCCAGGCTCGTTTTGCATCAGCTGCAGACACTGCGACATGGTTAAAGAAAAGAAAAAAGGAGGAAAAAAAGGAGAGGGGTTTAAAAAAAAAAGCCATGATCTGAATTACACTGGTTTGTCCTGGCTGTGGTGCTCATTAGCCTGAATGGGGGTTAGATGGCTAAGGGCTATGTCCCGGTGTGCCTGGCAAGGGGGTCTCAGCAGATGGGACTTTAGCAAGCCTGACTGCCTGTGACATGTCCACCTAGAAACCCCCAAGGAGGGGTTTTGGGCTGTAGATGTCCTGACATGAGGGACTGGACTGAGGCCGCTGGGTGTCAGTTTTGGTCTAGGAGCATGAGGTGAGGTTTTGGAGCAGTTTGGAGAGGGAGTGGGAAAAGGGGAGAAGAATCATGACAGGTTTTTATCACAGCCTGAAATAAATTAACCTCTGGGAGGAATGATTTTGTAATAACTTGCGTTTAGATATTCTTACACATCCAAATAACCCCAAACTTTCTGCAAACGTTGTAATGAATCCAATCTCCAACATCCTGTGAGAGGGATAGAAATAGCACTAGTTACATGGTTAAAGGAGCCAAGGACTCTTAGTACTGCATTCTGATATTTTCTTGTCATCAGCCTCCTGTTTATTCTTTTCCACTTCAGGGCAGTTAATGGTAAATGAGATATTTGTTCTTTGCTATTTTCACATATTCTCTGCCCTGTCTCTGTTCCAAGAGACCATGAAGTCAGTTGATTACATTCCACCCCAACTTTGGCAGCCTTTGCAGGAGCGACGGGTCTTCCAGGGAGACCCAGGTTGAGCCGCACATTTTGGGTGTTGAAGGCTTGGGCAAGCAGATTGTTTTCCAAAGGGAAGCAGAGCATTCCAAAGTGTATCTTCTCTTACAAATGTATCTCAAATGCAGAGTGCTTAAGGCAGTGCGGAGCAGGTACTAGCTGAGCTATGCACCCTGGGCACCTCTGTGCTCTGCTGCGAGACCTGCTCAGCTGGCAGGTTGCAGGTCAAGGTCTGGGTAGAGATGGCTGCGTTTCAGTGACAGACTCACATGGGATTGTGTAATTCTCTTTGGGTCTGACCCAGAGTTGGCCTGAATCACTAGGACTGTATCCGTTACCTTCAAGCCCTCTGCTTGCTGCCCGTTTCACCTCTGCCGTGCTCACTTGCTTTGTGTAAATGCTCTTCCCGGTGCTGGGAGTATATGCTCTGGAGCAAGCTGTTAGCTACATGTCAGCTGTATATAAGGGGAAACTTGTCTGACGCAGCAGTGAAGAGGAGAACGCACACTGCATCTTGCAGATTTACTCCTCGTAAAACACCTCTAGCTCTCCACAGATATCTGCAGATAATCTGCCAAGTGAACCCAGGGATATTTATAGTGCAGCTTCAGCAATGACATAACAGCAAGTTAGCAAACAAATGAACTTTGAAATGTAAGGAGAGCAAAACTACAGGCTGGAGTGTGTTTATTTTGGAGTCAATAGAAAAGGTTAAATCATAATGGTGAATGTTTCCAGGGTGGGTCAGGTTAAAAAGCAGAGCAAGCAAAGCATTTTCATAGCGCTGTAAGACTATTTGGTGTGTGCTGAGTTTAAATTACAAAGACAAATGATAAATACTTTGTTTCCCACTGAGATAAAGTGCTGTAGTGCTGAGCACCATACAAATGTCTGCAGAAAGCTAAGATAAATGTTGCTTCAGAAGGGATTAAAATGGCTCTGAGTTCAAGCATTAGAAAAATTCTGTATTCAATTTGCAAGGTGTATAAATTTAGGCAGTTTTAGCTATGGATGTGACTTTTCCTTTGCTTTCTGTCTGTTTCCCCCTCTG